TTCCAATTTTGTTTTCTCGACGTTTCAAGTCATTTTGAATCGATTGAGAGCAAATTGTAAACATAATGTGTGTGTATGTGAGCCAACATTTTTTCTTTTAACGACGTTTCTTTAGAATGCTATATATACCAGCCATTTGAATTTACGTTTTTTCACCAGTACGAGTCAAAATGACTGGCTTATAGAAAACATGCTTATTGCGGATTTAAGTCGAACAAACTAATAGCTAAAAACTTAATTTTTAAATTTTTATAGTTATTTATTTCAATGCTAAATACAAATTTTCCAGCTTTCCAGTAAAGCCCAGCTAACAAAGTATTTCTAGACTTTAATTCCAATTCTAGAGGAATTTTTGTAAAATTTTATTTCGGTTATTGCAGTTCTATTCTTTGTGCTATATGGTTTAAAAATTTTTGAAAGAGGGGTTGATGCATTTCGAGCTTAATCTTTTCCTAACTATGGCCAGCCATCCACCACATATTTTGTCTCTACAGCATTTATGTGACATATACAGTAGAACCTCGTTTATCCGGACCTCAGTTATACGGATTTGCGATTATCCGGACTACCAACCACGACTAATTTATATGTATGTACATACCTACAATTCGAATTTTTGCATTATTAATACTGCAGTTTAGTATATGTATGTAATGTTAATCTAAGAAAATAAGTACATTCATAAGAAAATTTCAATTTCTTAATAAACATTATTTTTGTTGATATCTACGTATGTATTTGTTATCATTTCTATAAATATACAACATTATTCTTCATATATTCGATCATCCGGTTTTTCGATTATCCGAATGCCTATCGACAACAATTAGTCCGGCTAATCGAGGTTTCTACTGTACTTGATCTAATTGCATCAGGACTTTGTTGGAAGAAGCTGTTCAGCCACAAAATTAGGAGCTCCTGGTTTGAAGCAAACTTGGTCATTTTCTAAATATTTGACCCAAACTGCTAAAACCAATGTGAATTGTCTATTCGCAAACGTGGAAACCTTTTTTTCTTGTCGAAGCGGTATAAATTTCGGTAAAATCACTCTTTTTTCTAATAGTTTCGTTTAAATCAATAATTGCAGTTTTTTGATTCGGTGCGTTTTTACAACTACATCTTCAGAAAAAGAACAATTTCTAGGCTGACGATCTCTATAAAAATAAGTTGAAATCAAGACACTTTTCTTGTTCTTAGAATTTTTTTACTCAATAATATATTTTTGAAAATTTCTATATATACATGAATATATCTACAGAAATAAAAGTTACACTTGAAAATCACTTTAAATTAAATTTTATTTGGTGCGAAGAACAAAGCTCGAAACAACAGCTCTGTTCGTAAAAAACTAGTAATAATACCGCAATGTGCATTTTTACAATATAATAAAGTATTATAGTAATGGTACGAAATTCTAAAATAAAAACGTTTGGAAATGTTTCACGTTTTGAAGGTTTCTGAACATTTTGGCTCAGAAAAAATGGATGTGTGTGTGTGTTTTGTATGTCCGCACATTTTCGTCTCCGTCCACGATTTGACTGGTTCAAAAACATTCGATTCCTATTGATAGCTGATTAGTTTTGGTAAAGGCAGGTCCAACCATTTCGAAAAATACAGAGCTAAATGTGCAAAAATGGCAGTTTTTGAGAGAACTAAGCGTCCGATTTAATTGATTCAAAAAACTTTCTGCTGTTTTAACATAATAATTGCTTTTGGAAAAAAAAAATTGTTTCAATTTTTTTTGAGATTTCATTTTTAATTCTGACTAAAGTTCTAATACACTTTAAACAAATAATTTCAACTTTGCAATTCGGTTTATATGATTCTCATAAATATTAGACAATGTTACAATATTTATAATAATCTATTTGAAAACATTTCAACATTCCTCGAACACGTTCTCGGTTATGGAACGTGGAATTTCCCATTACGGTATGGGAAATTCCAGCAATTTGCCTTAAGGCACGATGCCATGCACCACTAGTTATTTATTAATTTTCTTCATTTGTAATTCATTTTATTTATTTATTATTTTATTATTTTATTATTTCTTTTTGTGATATTATTTTATTTGTATTATTATTAACTTCCCGTAGGGTAAGTTATAGTAATCGCAAAAAATCGAAAATGAAATTTTTATTTCTTTCTTTCTTTCTTTATATTTCAAAGATTTCTGAATATTTTGGCATACCTTAGAAAAAATGGATGTATGTGTGTTTGTGTGTATGTGTGTGCGAATAAAATTTTCGTCGACGATTTTGGGAACAGCGAACAACCGATTTGAATAATTCAAAAAACATTCGATTCGTATTGATAAGAAGAAGTGCTGATAGCTTTTGCGAAGGTAGGTCTCAGCGTTCCGAAAATTACGGGGAAAAAAAGTTGCCACAAAGGTTATCTCAGTTTTGAAGGAAACGGAGCGTCCGATTTTAATTTTCAAAAAAACATTTACTTGTGTTGACAAGATAAAGAAATGATAATTTTCATGAAGGCAGGCCTAGCGGTTTCAGAGATCTAGTGAAAAAAGTAAAAAAAAAAATGCCATTTGGCGGAAAAAATAATCATTAGACATATGCACATCAAATTATCAAATATTTTATAGAGATTTTAACAATAAGTATAAATTTTGTTTACATCTCTATGGGTTCCGTACCAATGCTTATCCGTTAGACGGCGGCGCGGCACTTACGCTTTGACATTTCGTCTCTATGCAGTTCAAGCAGTACGATTGCTTTGAAAAAAAGTTCAGAATTTCCAAAATATGTCAAAATGAAGAAAAACATTTTCTTTTTCAAAAAAAAAATTTTGTCAAAAAAAGTAATTTTTCATCAAATTTATAGTTTCTCAAAAATCTAATTTTTTTCGAAGAAATTTTTTTTCAAAATGTAAATCGTTTTTAAAAAAATAATAATTTTGGTACGGGAAGTTCCAGCAATTTGCCTTAAGGCACGATGTCATGCGCCCCACTTATATTATTATTATCATTACTATGTGTAATTTGTTAGGGTCAGTAAATAACTTGATTGCTATATAATATGGAATGAAATATGGAATATGATATGGAAAAAAAAACTTGCACCAATCATTTTGACTGGTACTGGTAGAAATAGTAGTAACACGAAATCTCTTTGTTACTAATATATGAAAAGTATCATATAATTCATAAGATTAATTCTATACTTATAACTAAAATATCGTAACTTGATTTCACAAAAGAAATGGTACATATGATGGGAATTTTGATTTGAAATTGCTCGACCAGTCATTTTGACTGGTGTGGTATATCCGTAGTGCAACCTGTGGTATATTTATTTATTTATTTTACAAGCCGTCGGTATAATAATATTATAATAAGGCTCAAGTCTATATTTTGGAGATTTAATATAACTTAATTAACTATTAGCTATTTTATTACTTATTTATTTATTATTTAATTTATTTACTATGAACTTATTTATATTGAGATAATTTTAATATATTTTTAAATATAATTAGTTTGTTGTTGCAAGTATTTTTTAAAAATGTAACAAATTTTTAATAAGCTTTGCAATACTTTTACAATATAAATATTTTGTTCAACCAATTCTAGGTTTATGATATTTTAACAATCGCTACACGCGTTGCCGTACAGAAAGAGATAGTTCCGGTTTTGTCGTTGTTTAAAAGAAGATTATTTATATTGACCCATTTCGAAACAGAATCCATGACACTGTTCAATTTCGTTAAGGGGCCATCGTATGTTCTAGCATTGATGGTTAGACAAGTGTCATCAGCGAACAAAATAAAGTCACATAGATTTGAGCAATTAGGTAGGTCATTAATGTAAAGAAAAATAGGAGCAGCCCAAGAATTGATCCTTGTGAGACACCCATTTTGATGTTTAATTTCCTAGATATAACTTTTCTACCGGTGCTATCGTCCAGATTATATTATTGAATTGAGATCTTAAAATCATCTAACAATTTGTATTTTTCATTAAAATGAATATTAAAATTGCCACATAAAATTACTTTATCGTATTAATTAGACATCTCATTTAGAAGATAAAGGAGAGTATTAAATGTAGAACCATTTTGGTCTGGGGATCGGTAAACAAAAATTAAACAAATAAGAGCATAATCAAGAGATACTTGGATAGCACAGTACTCAAATATTTTTTCAACACAACTAGTCGTTGCCCAAATTGGTTTATAGGAAAATCGATCGAGGTAAAAATCTTTTTTTTTTACCTATTGCAAACACAGCCATGAGAAAAATTTGTCCACAGAAGTAGGACTGCAAATGTAAACCTTTTAGTTTGACTAACTGAAGTTCGGATTCTTTGAGCCAATGTTCACAAAACACAAAAGACGTATGCACATCAAATTATCAGATATTTGATGAAGTTTTTAAAAATGAGTACTATTTTTTGCTATAATTTTGTTGGGATCCGTACCAAGATTTTTCATTTTGAAAGTTTACTTATACAGTTCAAGCAAATTTCAAATTGTTATTTATCATTAATCAGGTTTTCTTAATTATTGATTATTTTTATTTTTGAATTTTCAATTATGGTACGAAAAGTTTCTGCAATTTGCCTTAAAGCACAATGCCATGCACCACTAGTTTATAATATATTAAAACTAATATATTAAATAATTCATTATATTTAACTAAAATTAGTATCACATTTCAAAATTAATTCATAAAAACGTAATCATGATCTTCAAAAAGAATACCACAAATTAGCATCGTGACAATCATCACTAAAATTCCTTCCACTTTTTGTTTAAATTTTTGGAATAGAGAGATGCCATAGTTTGACATTTATTTAGACGAGATGTTTTGAATATGGAATACTAAAATGAAGAACAAATAATTTTAATATAATAGAACAACATAGTTTGATGAATAAAATTAATTACTTGATTATTATCTGTTGCAAGTTTCCTCTTTGCTACTAAGGGGATATTATTTGATAAAGTTCTTAGCGGCATCATTCCATAACTGCTAGATTCAACTTGTAAATATGGAGAATCTGGACTTTTATTTGAGTTGCTTAGTGCCTTCTGTGTGAATTTATATACATATTATTCGCGATACAGATATACACAATAACAGAATGTATTTGAAATCATTTTCAAATGTAAGGTTTTCCATTTTTGTGAAAAGCGGTTCAAATATAGTTTTGTCATTCAGGTAAAAGATAAAAATTAGAGTTGTGTATAATGGTGCACATCATGAAATTACTTACAGTTTTGGGTGGTGTACTTTTGTTAAGTTCAACTATGGATTCTAATTCTGCAATACGTTTCAACAGATTTGACTTTTCCCTGTGTAAATCAATGAATTTTTCTTGATCGTTGCTTAAATATTTCAAAGACATCTTTTTAAACATATTTTCTAAATACATATAAATCTATATGAACTATACATCAATTTACCTATGCATTTCAAGTTTCTCTTTGAATCGAATACACTGGGTTTTATATTTAATAACTTCTAGTTGCAATTTTTGATACCCAAGTTTTAAGTTGTTTTGCTTTTCTTCACTTGAGGTGAGTTTGCTAAATTTTTAAAATATGCTATTTAAAATACATTCTCAAAATTAACAATTTTTTAACAATATTTGAAAGTAGAGGGAAGAAGATGTATAACCAGTCATCAATGTCTATTGACATCATATGACATTGCTATCGGGAGAAAAATGGCAATGTTCGGAAATTCCTAACAAAAGTATATTCTTTCGTGGTTACCTTATTTGTGAGTTGTGAGCAGGGATGTTTAGTTTTCATGACCTTAATATAATATTTAAGTATATGCATTATTGAATTCTTTTATGAGATATATTGTCAATTTTAAGTTATATTCAACAGTTTTTTTATACAACCTCTATAAAAACATGCACACTGGTGGGGTGAAAAGGACCAACTAAATCTTTACCTTTGCAAAGATGTAAACAATAAAAAATAGTAAATAAAAAATTATATCAAGTTGAAAAAAGCAATCTCACAACAAATAATTTAAGGGGGGCGATACATGTAATCGCCTTAATTTTTACCATTTTTTGAGGACTTTTTAAACTGGGAAGGAATGACTGAATCTTTTTGAACTTTTTTAGGGTTATTTATTATATATTAAAATACACAAAAAAATTTTTTTTTAAATTTTTTTTTTTTAAATGGCTGCCGTAAAAATAAATCTGCCAAGACCCTCTCGGAAAACGCCATCAATTTGCGGGCGTTCTCACTTTTCGTACGGTGATTTGAAATCAAAAAAATTAGTTTGTACGTGTTCATAAAACATATATCTTCTAGTTAAAAAACCAAAAAAAATTAAAAAAGTCACAAAATCGTAAATTGGCACACCACAGAAAAAAAAGTTCGATTTTTCACCTTTTTTTCAATGGTTTTTTTTTGGTAAAAGGGTTAATTTTTGAAAATTTTTTTGGAATGTTTGAGGTTTAACTAGAAGCTATTACTGTAAAGTAGATGTGTGCAAAATTTCATTGGAATCGGATGAGAACTTTTGAGTTATCCCGCCCGCAAATTTCAAAAATGTCGTTTTGAGAAAAACGCGTTTAAAGTTTTGACACAGAAACAGATAAGAGTAAATAGCACACAAACGTCGAGTTGAGGCGTGGCACTTAAATGAGTTTTTATTGTATAAATAATGATAATTTTGTTTTGAATATTTACAGGCATATTTTTGAGATGTTATTGTAACGATTTATGAAAAAAAAAAATCGATTTTTTTTTCTTGTTACATGTATCGCCCCCCTTAAATAAATAGTGATTCCAACTCTTCTGATGAATATTTGGGATCAAATGCCAGATCTAAAAATGTAAAATTGATATTTTGCATTAGTGGAATAATGTAGCAATTATTTCATCAAGACATTGGGCCCGTTTGCCCCCTGGCCGTCCCATTATATCCTGCCCATATGGTAAAAAGTACCAGGTGACAACATTTCTGAAAACCGCATTTCTGCAAATAATAATTCTATAATGATGAATTAGTTGGTAGTTTTACTGAGCATTTTCAGATCGTTGTTTGTTTGATATGTGTTATTTGTTGTTACATAATTGGTTTGGTTATCACATTATAATTGCTCAGAGTCAAATTGGACCTCTGTGCCTCGCCCTACCCAATTTTTAATATTGATAATAACAATTCTTCACCTCTTGAGTGAGGATACAAAACTAGCCAAATCTGCAACACTCGTATTATTAGAAAGCATTGCATCCACTTCTTTGCTAGTTGATTTTAATAGTAGGTCAACTCTATAATGAAAAAAGATTACTTGAGGATATCATGGTATATTTCACCATTATTTATTACAATGAAAAACTTATGTTCAATGCACTAACTTTTCCATGGACTGCACTTTTTCTTGCATTTTTTGTATCTGTTCTCTTAGCTCCGACAGTTCCTTCATTTGATCTTTAAAGTAATTGTATTGATATTTCATTGTATCAAAAGCTGCACTTGTTTTAGTCAGTTTTTTTTCGAGTTTCAAAACTTTTTTTTCAGATGATTTCAACTGCAATATAAAATATTAGCTATTTTCACAAAAAGATAGTTCAAAATTATATTATTTTTGAAACAATTATATCAGAAAAAATACATCAAAAATAATTATTACAGAAATATTGCGACTTAATAAAAGTATTGGTTCAATATGGATTGATAAAATATTGATAATTTACATAAATAAGAATATAAATAAAAATATTTAATAAATACTGTATCATTGGAATATTCAAGAGATTTTTGAAGATCAGTGATCCTTAATTTTGCATCTGATAGTTGTTCTTGTAACACAGCAGGGTCTTCGAGGAGAGATCTGTTTGCACAAATGTTAAAGTAAATTTTCTGTATGGTAGATGGTGTAGTTTTACAACGGCACTCAGGACAAGTTGAAGATCTACAAAATTTATCACATTACACTAACTTACAAAATGAATCACATTAAAAACTACAAGTTTGAGGTTAGGCTAATGTACTTTAAAAGATAATTGGAAAGAATTGTACCTCGGAAGCCACTGGGAAAGACACTTGTAATGAAATACATGTCCGCAACTAGTAATAAATATTTCCACTGAACTTTCAAGTAATTCATTGCAAATGGCACACAGTACTAACATTATTGTGAACAATTATTTTATACTATTTAAATCTTTATTGAAAATTTGATTTGATAATGATTAAAAAACAATTATCAAATCTACTACACAATTGCATAAATAAATTTATTGATTTCGTTTAAAATGTTTTTACACGTATTACAAAAATCCCCGAAGATAAAGAAGCTCTTCTCTTATATCATCGGTGCGAAGTTGTACCCAGTTGAACCAGCTGTAACAGGCTAACCCGCGTCCATGCTTATTTATCTATGGCGTGTTTCGTGTATCGAGTTCTAGGCGATAATTTGGCGCTAGTAAGCCGGTGCCAAGTGACAGTTTACGTCCGGATTTCTACCTTGTGTTCTGGGTTTTTCTACAAGCAATATTGGTCCTGGATTTAGCTCCTTTATCCCAAAAAGTACAAATTGTAAAGAATGTAAAGTACAAAAGTACTAGATAATAAAATTATAAATACACATATACTTTTCTTTTATTTATGCAGATGACATAAGGTAGGGCGGGCATAGACCTTATACAATACATGGACTGCTAGTTGAGCGCATAAAAAGTGTCAAAAGATGTTCTATGGTATGAGGGCGTACGAGGGTAATTTTGCGGCCGAGATATGTCAAATACGAACACGAGCTTTACCGCGATTAGTCGAATGCACCCGATCGCTTAAATTTTACAGTTACTTGGGTTCACGTGATGTTTGATGGTTCGGGTTTTTAAACTAAAAGAGGATAAAAATATACCTGTTGTAAAATTGTTAAAAGTAAAATGTCTTCTAAAATGTGTTAGGTAAGGTGCCTGATTGCAGTAAAACCTGTTTTGTGCTGTTCTGTATGCTTCGCAAGTATTCCGGGAAATTCGGCATTGATCGATATAAAAAATCGAGGATATCTTTCATATCCTTCCGAAGAAATGTTTAATTTATGTTTATATATAGAAAGCCTAATTCAAAATTCTTTAAATTTAATGTACAAAAGTTCATATGAAAGCATGATTCTCTGAAAGTTGAATGACTTGGGACTTGCACATTTTTTTAGATCAAGTTATTTCCAGCAATTTGTCCAGCATTATCATGACCTTATCAACTTTGTCGCAAAAATTTACTTAACAATTAGAATGCACCATGAAGAAAGAAAGAAAAGCAAAGTTGATAAATATGTACTCCGCCTTCATACGAATATTGTGCTTTTTAAACACCAATAATAAATATATTACATTTAAACAAATATTTCATTATTGCTTTCTAATTTCCCATAATAGCTCTAGCCAACTGTCCTTATTTTCAGTGAATTTTATAATATGTAAAATATTGTTTTAATTTTTTTTTCTAATTTCCCTTAAACACTTTGTATAACTAAAATAAATAAATTAATAAATAAATAGTTCATTACATTCATTAGGTCAACATAAATTGTATATTATATAATATTTTGCCAACAATTTCGAATACACGGACTTTCATTTGACGTTTAAGCGATCGAGTTTGACATATCTCGGCCGCGAAATTACCCTCGTATGCCCTCATACCATAGAACATCTTTTGACACTTTTTTACTTGAGAAATGTATGGGGACTAGCAGTCCATGAAATTGTATAAGGTCTATGAGGGCGGGGCACAAAAGACCAGTTTGACTCTGAGCAATTATATTGTGAAAACCAAACCAATTATATTACAACAAATAACACATATCAAGAAACAATTATCTGACAATCTTCAGTAAAACTTTCAGTTAGTTAATTATAGAAATGTGTTTTTTTTGCTGTTTTTATTTTGATTATTGCTGGCATAGATAAATAAGCATAAATAAATCGCTATCTCGAGCGATTTGACGTTACTCATTTTAATTTACGAATTGATCACAACATGGCAGCACATGTATATACAGTATGTAAATTAACCCCTGGTATTACTTCTACATTTATACATATAATCAATACAGCCAAAACATCTGAAAAAAAATTAATATTTGAAATAAGAACAACCCATACGAAATTCAAAATATATTTTCAAATATATTACAGGCATATTTTTGAAGAATTATAAAATAAACAGAAATACCTGACTACTATTAATTAAAGTATATTACAGACATATTTTTAAAGTACTACAAATTAAAGAGAAATATCTTATTAATATTAATTACTTAATGACTAATAATAATATATTAAAAACTTAAAAACTAAGAAGTGAAAAGCACAAAGTATTGACGATGGAATGACAAATTTAGAAGGAATGACAAGTACGCAAAAATTTAATAGGATAAAAAGAACAACAAATTAAAAAAAAAAAAAACGAATACTTTCCAAACAAAATAATCCTAAAAACGAAAAATATATATATTGATATCCAAATTGAGATAAAACTAAATTCCTAGGATTAAAATTCAATTACTAGACATTCTTCTTTATTATCTCTCCATTTAATAGTTAT